AATAAGATGCAAGTACCTGAATCCAGTTAAAAAGTAAGCACCAAGGTATCAAAATTGAGGAAACATTAAACCTTGGATCTTCAAAACGGTTGTTGCATCAAAGCAATTACAAGTCCTTTGAAGTGCAGCCATGGAGGAATATCTTAATCAGACTCCCAGTCTACACCATCATCATCATCATCTCCAGATGGTTCGGCTTCAGCATTTAAGTCATTGACCTTATAACTTTCACTTGCATTTCCTAAAATTCGTGCATGGAAATAGCATCAATGATGGCCAAACCAAAGTTATACTCTTACTAGTAGTCCAATAAACCCATTATATTAGTATGCTTTCTCTATTGGAATATAAATTGACAAATCATGGCAGAAAACCATAGCAATAGATTTGGTAACAGATGGAGGATAAAAGCATGTTTCCATTTCCTGAATACACAATTCAACTCAAGCTGCATTCTGAAGAAGGTATTTGATTATGTTGACTAAATAGGTATCATGTGAAAATGGAAGGGACAGTTATGGATCTTCCCTTTAGTGAATCAAGTCGGAGCAGATTGTAATTGTTAAAAAATAAGCAAGAAAGGATAAAATTAGAATTACATTAGCATTTATTATTCAGAAAAAATCACATCCCAATTCATTCTTTTGTCACATCTATTTGGTGATCCTAACATGACCATAACTTGCTTCCACTTGAAATTTAAATTTGACCAAGCAAACGACTGTATTATAAAGAGAGAAGCAGTATGTTTTCCACATCAAGCAAAAAATCCACTCGTGCCCAATAGCCTCTAATAAATATAATCTTTAATCCAGAACAATAAATTTTCCCTTAAGAGTCACACAAAGACTGCACACATGCGTGTACACAAACCCATGGTAGCTACAAACAGAAAGAAATACAGTTGTGCACAACCAACAGATATTTCAAAGGTGACAAGCTAAAACCTATATCAATCATGCATGAAGCCATGAACAAACACTAAATGTTTCAACCTGGCAAACAGGTTTGAGACCATTTCATTCTTCAACTTCTAGTGGTAAAGGTACACATTTCATTAGGTATTTTGACTATGTATCTACCTAGATGTTACCAAAAAAAAATGAAAAACTATAGCATCATCATAATTATACACCTTTTATTATCAGAGACTAGGTGAGTTTTTCTGAATGCATCAACCAATTTTTAGGCAGTGGAGGTATAAGTGTATTTACATGGAAAAGAAACAGTTTGAGCTGAAGCTATTATATTTGGAATCCTATAGATAGGGTAAGAAATTATTTTAATCCATTCAAATGCTTTGTTAATTCAGAGGTTCAGTAACATTTTCAAGCTTATGTTAAAACTAGATCTCATAAAAAAGAGAATTAGTAAAAATCCTAGATTACCAGAAATAGGAGGCTGTTCCCATTCAAAATCATTATCAGCCTCATCGTCCTCACGTTTAGACTTCATTCCAACTTGTCGATTAGAGGGCAAGTCATCAAAATCAGGCATGTTTAATGACTCTTGTCTTTTTGCAGCTTCTACTGCTTCCTGCCGTTGCTTAAGTAAAGCAGCATAATAGGCTTTAAAATACTCCTCCTGCAATATAATCAAGAAGAAGTAAGAAACTGTAACTGCATACAAATGGAATCTGTCCATTATTGCATAGGACCTATTTGTATTTTTTTAAGAAACAAAGGGTAGCTCTCACATGGCTGACTTCATGAAACTCAACTTTGTGAAGTGTGAAGTACACGGGTCCATTCGCATTTACATGTTAATGACACATGCATTGGCCAAAAACTTAGAACAGTGGATTGTCATTAAATCCACTAAGTGTATATTTGGTTTGAGGGAAACGTAGGGCCACAGGCGCCGGGGGGCGGGGGGTTGGGGCGGCATGGGTAGTGAGGTGGAGGGAAAATTTTTAATCCAATCAAAGTAAAATGTTGGGCTAAAATCTTAATTTGAATGGACAACAAATTTTCCCTCCCCTCTCCTCTGTTTCCCTCAAACCAAACATACCCCAAGTCTAAGATTCTTTTATCTATGATTGCTCTAAGCATGCAGCCATTTTATCCCATCTCTCACTTTCAGTCAAGAAAGAGGCAGAGAACAGCAAAGGACAAGCTGTTCAACAGGATCGACAGCTTGGAGAATTCTAGGGAATTCAGCATCAGTGGAGTTATTTTGTGTGGTAAGTTTAGGTTATGGTCTTTCATATCTAAAACTGAAAGTATATGCGGATTGCTAAAGTAAAATGAACCTACACATAAGAGAAAGCATGTTAATAAGCATATGACAATCAAGCAAATGAATACTGATGTAAGAGTTTATGAAATAGTACGATCATGTTGTTTATGGAAATGCATGTGACTTGTTCTGCCAATTATAAATTCTGTGATACATAACTGTGTACATGAGCTGAGTTCTTTCCAAAAGCTATTCTGCATGTCCAAATATTTGTGAATTATGAGACTACCTTGAGCTAGCATATGATTTCTGTTATGAAATTCTCATACAATGTTAACTGTTTAATCTACCTCGATTCTATAAAGTTTAGGTATGTAAGTGGGTCTGCATTAGAGTAATGCTGTTCTGATTCTGGAAAATATGCCTAGAATGAACATGTGATGCATGTTTATCCATCTTTATGCCTTAAATGGTTCCACATGATGTTGAAGTATGTTCTGAAGCTATGTGGGTTTGCAGGACCTAAAAATTTTTTTTTCCTGCAACTTCAGGACCTAAACCTATGATTTGGGATTGGGATATTTCCATTGTTTCTGGACCTCACAAGGGAGATTGAATTATCAGGACCACTGCATAGTTGGGGTGTGCTGATTGGTTCCAGCAGCCTTATGATTGTCTGTTTGATTATGATCACATTTAGTACAACTAAATAGTATTCCTAGTGCCACGATAATCCACTTACATGCTATCTGATTATATGTTATGCCTTTACAAAGTTTGATGTATCAATGATTTAGCCAATAAGTCAAATTTATAGCTACTATCCTATTCAGTTCTGTTCTGTCATCCTAACAATTGTTATACTTTTAGTAGATTTATTTATTAAGAAACAGAGAATGTAATTACTGATCTGATTTTACTAAATGTATTTCACTTCATAAATTTAAGATTCAGTATGGCTTCAAAATCCATAGCTTACAGTTACTGCACTCTCGAGCACACCCCAATTTCTATTAATCCTATTTCAGATCAGGACTAGAAGATTAGCTTTGTTTTTGGAGCCTAGAAGTCTCCTATGGTTAACATTGTAAAAAGTCTATCCTAAGCTAGGTAAGGCAAACTGTATCTGCCAAAACAGCACCAATGCTCTGTGTGTCCTTACAGCCTTTGCAACGGGATATTTGAAGTCTGTATCTACTATCATCTGTAGTTTTCCTAATGTTCATGGTGCTTTTAACAGAGTTTTGTAGTAAGTCAATTATCCTTTAAATGCGTTCTGAGCCATTTATTAATGTTTCCTTAAAATGAACAGTTACTAGATATGCTTTACTAACACTTTTCAAGTTAACCATGATTTCCACAAGATTTTCTGATTATCTTAATTCCCAGCTAAGACACTGCCCAGGCAGGCAGACTGGGAATATGTATATACCTTTGGATGACAGAAGAGCTGAAAGGGAGAGAATTCACTAAGTTTACTTTCCAGCTATTTTTGGGAGCTTGTATGCTATGTGTGTTGAGTAACAAACCATAACCGGTAGTCCCTGAGAATTACTAGGGGTGGGTTGTGACAGTAACTGAGTCAAATTTTAAGTAAATCTAAAATCTTACAAAAGGAAAATAGAGAAAAATAGAAACAAAGCTATAGAACATGGAATAGAAGGGAAATTTCATCTCAATGCAGAAACCTGAATATTCTGCCCTTCACCATTTTGAACAGTAGACTTTTTGTCATCAGAAGAATCCACTTGACCTGAACTACCATCCATCTTTGCTTCCTGCTTCAACTCTCCTCGTTGTTCAGTTGTAAGGTTCATTCCTTCCTTTATCATCCATGGTGGCATAAGTTTCACGTCCATACTTGCACTTTCAGACTTAACACCCCCTTCCTTGCCTTCAACACCTGAAAAGGTAACCTCCACCTGCCAAGATACACATATATAAAACTTTAAAACAATCCAATTGTGGCTGATAAATTTAATCTTTAGCATCAAGGGGGGTTGCTAATGCCAAAATCCAGAGTACATACTCCAATAAAGATATCAATCTCATAGAATATAGAAAATTGTTCAGTTACAAATAAATAATCAGCAAAGCTTGAAACTGTAACGTTATGAAATTATGATGGCTGACATAGTCTCTTTCAGATGCATGTTTGGTTGAGAGGTAGACAAAAATTCAGGAAAAAAATAAATAAATCTTCCCCAGACCCAAAGACACTATCCATTAAACAGTGTTTTTTTTTTTTTTTTTGGTGGAATGAGCCAGCATTATTCGTCATTGTTTGGCATGTAAAGAAACTATCTTAAAAGCTTCAGAGAACAAAATCCCAGCCCATGTTTCATCAGAACTTAAATACACAAAACACAAATTGGTGAGAGAGATAAACTTACAAATACATATCATGCATCCATATTCTCAATGTTTTGCACTATAGTTTAAATAACTATTTGCAAAATGAGTAATTTTCATAGCACTTGGACCTTGAAACTCATGCAAAAGATAGAATTAAAGCAACAAAATGAACTACCTTTGTCTCTCCAAGAAATGGCATTGGTGTTCCTCCATACCCCAGCCCTTGGGAAGATTTGGAAGGATCATTCGCACTAGAATTTGCTGCACGGGCAGCAGCCGTTGCTCGAGCTTCCCACTCTTGGAGACTTCCAAATTCAGGGACAGCTAATTCTTTCACTCTGTTAAGTTGATCGTTTAACGGTTTAAGCTGTGCCTGCATATAAATTAAATTTTTTAACATCAATAAGTACTAGTGGAGATGAAAAACTATTACTATACAGAATAATATAACAGTAAATAAATATATCAAAATCTTAGAAAAACTTGACTATCAAATCAAAGTACATGTAAATGACTAACACTATTCACTTGAAAGCAGAGCCAAAAATCTCACTTTCTGTCCCTCCAATCACAACATGTTTTCAAATAGTAAATATGTTTTCATTAATCTAACTACAGAAGCAGGTGTACCAATCAACATAGCTGGATCCACATCTTCATTTGCCATGATGAAATTAGCAGTGACGAGAAGAAAAATGGATTAACCTTCCAGTTTTTTACTAGACCCCTTACAACTCTTTCTTCTCAAATCTAACATTCTCAAATCATTGGAAGAGCTTGATAACAAATTTGACTGACAAGAACACTAATGTTTTCTAAGCAATATGTCCTGGAAATGACAATTTTCAGGATAAAAGAAAACACCCTTATTGGGATGCTTTTATGAGCTAGGCCAGGATCAACAATCAAGAATTTGGAATATTGTACAGAACAATTCAAGGGGACCAATTCCACTGTCTGCTGCATTGGAGGTGTTTCCTAGGCATGTGTAAGAGACAAAAATGGAGACTGAAGAAGTAGATCTCTAAAACAGAACCATTTTTCATGAATAAGCTTCCTTCTAGAAGAACTCCAAGTGAAATTCTTTAAGCAACTCAAATCCATTTCTTCCCCATAACAAAGAAGGCCAGAAGCTAGGACTAGCTGGATTTGAATGGAATGGCAGGATACAAAAAATTTCATGTATGCTGCTGCTAAATAAATTTCAGTTTACAAGCAATCCCCATGCCAACCAGAACAACTGAAGCCAAAAAATAAAAGAGAGAGAGAGAGAGAGAGAGAGAGAGAGAATGATAAAGTAATTTAAAGGTAAAAAATGAGACTAACTGTAGACTTACTTAGAGCCTTTTAAACAATTTCAGACACAAGACATGCAAGTTATGTATAATATATTTCTGCTTTGTGAGGAAGGTAACTGAAACATAGTAAGCATTACTTGAACTTTTACTTAGTAATCAGGTAAAGAGATCCCACTTTCTCAGTTTAACAAATTGACACATAAAGGATCAAGGCAAAGGAAAAATATGATAATCATAAACGATTAAAATAGAAAATAATAGAAGAGAAAAACCTCCATCCTTTCAAGCTGGTCCTTCACATTTTCCCGTTGTCGCCTTCTTGCATTATCATCTCCATCTCCTACTTCTTGTGCAACTAACTTATCATTCTCTGGAACCAACACCCCATTACATCTTTCACAATGAAAATACTCATCCTCCATTGAAACCAATCGCAATGCATCCAAAGCATTGTATCTGATTAAAAAATATCAGGATACCATCAACTTTTCTTGAATATAAACTGATTCTGTCAGACAACTAGAATAAACAAAAAATAAAATGTACAGAAAAAAAAAAAGAAAGAGCAGTAACAGAAACCTTTTTCCACAGTTAGGGCAAATGTACTCTTGGACTGTATTTTTGTCTTCCAGTTTATCCTTTAGTGTTTTCTTCATGCGGTGCAGCCTGTACCTAACAACATCATATATCTAACAAAAGAATTCACATGAGGCCTCACAAAGACTGAAGGAAGACTTTGATACGTAAAATAGGGAAAGTAAAAGGCCGAAGGTTTCTCAAGTTTTTCCTCTACAAAATCAACTATCTGTCAGGGCTATTTGGGAAATCTCAAATTCTTAATTGATTCTGCACAGTTTTCAATCAATTCTAACTGGCTAAACAAACCAAACAAATATTTAACATATTAAACTCTCAGACTCTTTGGCTAGAAGAAAACTACCTAACTAGAAAACCAATAAAGCAGGTCAAATTGCATTCAGCTGGCCTACTTTTCTTGGCTTCCAGTCCTCAGGTTTGACTATAAAGAACAGAAGGGAATAAAGACAAAAAAATAAAAAGAGCAAACCTGTGCATAATCTAGACAACAGTAAGAGTGAGTGTGCAACTTAATCTTCTCTTCTCCCTCTTTTCCAGTTTGTTGACCATCACCAGTTGCAGCAACTGCAGCACTATAAATCTTTGCTCCTTTTGCTGTCTGTGACCAAATCAAACATCAATATAAAAGCAAAATCAAGTAAATAACTTGACATGATCTAACAACTTGGAGGCAAATCAAGGATCAAAGATCCATGCAATAGTATTGACAAATGAAGTGTACCCAGAATAAACCTCCGAAAAGATATCAAATGAGAGAAAACTTCTAAAGAGAGCATTTTCGAACTGTAGTTACAATCTTTATTGTTGCCTATTTTAATTTTTGAGTCAAGATAAGTTATTATTTTCTTCCAACTAGGTTATTAAGAAACAGAAGAGGCAAATGTGTGTAGTAAGCAATTGGTCTAGTGGCTTCCTGAGAAGCATGCTCCAATCATGAGAGTTTTTTTGTAATTTCCAGAAGACAAACTGAACATGCTAATAGTCAGTCAACAAAATGAGAAGAGAAGCATGAGCTTCTTATAATGCCAACTAAGCACTTGGTTCAGCTTTGACTTAATTCTATTTCACACATAACATATAGATGAACACCAAAAAGTAAAATCACTCCAACAACCTGGTTGGTGGTCAACAGGTCAAGCTTCTAGACTCTAGAATAGCTTCTCTGCTGCAGAAGCTGAGGCTAGGCAAGCAAGGATACCTTATACAGGTTTCTCACTTCTTCTAGAAGTTTATCTGGGCCAGAAGCTGAAGCTACATATTGGAGCTTCTGGACAAGAGCTTTTGTAAGAGGATTTTTGAGTTCAAGACTTCAGAAATTAAATTAAGACCTTCTATACAATTTCTTGATGTAGCACACTTTTAAAAGCTCTACTCAAAAGGATATTCTACAAAAGTTCCAGCGGACTAAACAAGCTCTAAATATTATCCCACTCTCTCAGTTAAGGTGACATGGTTGACATAGGATGCCTACTTTACAGAGGTAAATAATACATCTTCATGCTATCTTTTTTTTCCCCTTTCTTGTACAAAGTTCCTCTAGGACTAAAATTCAATGTCTTCTACATCATACAGGGAAGAAATTTGATAGAGTTGGAAATCATAGGAAATGGTTAGCTGGGTGTAACATTAAGCAAAGAAACTCAGAAACCAGATTTCCCAATTAAACTTTATGCAGAAAAGTTACTTCTCTTTTCACAATGGACAGTTAAAATGAAGTTTGGAATACACTCAACACATCCCTTTCAATACATTATCAAACTGCAATACCCATGGTTGCATTGCCAAGAAAGAATGAATCGTATATTCATATTTGTTGACATCACCTTACAGGTCACCAAAATTGTTATAAGAATTCTACCATAAGTAAGATATACCACTTAAAAAATATCAATATTTTGATTCTATGATCCAACACAACAGCATTTTTAGCTTTCTTCTACCTTCTTTTGTACTTAAAAGCATAATTTAAATAGGCATCACCATCACATTTTACATATCATAAATCATTATTATTGAGAATAACAGTGTGTATAAATAAATAAATATTTCAGTAACAAAGAAAACTAAAAAATTTATTCACTAATTACATGCACTTAGGGCTAAGATATAAAAATGAACTAAAACTAGGTAAAGACGTGCCATTGATCTGATCTAGCAATTTCTAATAAATAGAAAAAGATTAATTACCAAAATAGTGTGTGTATGTGTCCGTAAGAAAAAGGAAACTTGACAAGATGACAACTAACCTCTTTTCTATGTTCACGGGTGACCAGCTTTTCTTCTTCAAAGAACCGGAGAATACGCCGAAGTTGCTTTAGATGCAATTTCAACTCCTTTGCCAAGTCTTCTTCCCTAACCCATTGTCTCCTGAAACAAAAAAGAAAATGAAACGAACAAGGATAAATTGACATAGAGAACCCCTGATGGAGGAAGGAACACAGACAAACTGGGTTCACAATCATGTAATTATAAAATACTAGCATCCTTCCCACCATAAGATTACTTCTGGGATTGGCCTCCAAAAAGACTGAATCCATTAAAATGGTCTTCCCTGCTCTTACTTTCTATTCAAATTTCAAAAAGATCCTTTTCATTTATCTATTCCCTTTTCATTCTAATTTGAGTTTATCAAGCCCTAACTTCACTCTATCTCCATCTCTTCTACAGTTAAAAATAAGGTTCTTCCATGAAAAATCGAGAGGGCTACTAACAGTACCTGGTGAGTGCGTCAAGAACCACCACAGCAATCCCTCGATTGTCACTGCGACCCGTTTTCGGCTGACTCTCCATCTTTGTTATATCATCATAAAACGCCCTAGCTGTGAGTTTCACCAACCTGTTTCACATTGAAACAATTACCCAATCTTGGAATTGCAACAAAATCGAAACCTTCAACGAAGTACCCAGATTTGATCGTGAACGATTCGATAAAGGGTACCTATTAAACGGCTCGATGCTCATCTCCGCAGCTGGTTTCAAGAGTTGTCTGCGATTTGTGAAATCTCTTTGTTATTGCCAGACAGACTGCCTAAATCCTCAAGAATTTTTCTGAGAATTCGACAGTATACGATGATGAATCATGCATACATGTCAAGATGAAGAACAGAACAGAAGAAGTTGAGGATTAGGGATTTCGGATGGCCGCAAAAGGCACACCAGAAAACGCAAAGCTAGAGTTTTTTGGGAGCGACGATTGATGATCGTGCGAAGTGTTATGGTGGACTTAGCGATAACTTTTTATTATATAAAAATTATGTTATTATTATTTAATAATGGTGATATTAAAAAAATTATATGTTAATATAAAACATTAATTAAAATTAATTTAATTATAATAATTTTATTATGAAGTACTTTATGGTTAAAAACACAGCAATACACCTTAAAAAAAAAATTTTTAAAGGGAAAAACCAGTAATATGGCAATGTCGAACGCAATTTATGTCAAATTTTAAGATATTTTTAAGTTATTTTTATTGAAAATTTGTTGAAATAGCTTAATTTTAAGATATTTTTTATTTTCATCTTTTAGATACTTTACTGATAAATACTTTTTCTAAATAAAAATATTTAATGTTATTTTAAATGAAAAATAAACCACATGTAGAGAGGGTTGCCCATAGGCACCACCTCAAGTCTTAAAAAATAAAGAGACAGAGACCAAAATTTTAGTGTAAAAAATGTCAAATGCCATACCCTAAATCTTGTTATGCATAAAAAAAAACAAGTTCAAACAGCTACGATTGATAAGAAAATTACCCCACCTGCCTTCTCTTTCGAGTTTCACCACAAAAAATATGATAGTTATTATTATCATTATCTTGATCTTAGACTCGTAATGAGAGGAAAGCCTATTATTATCATTATCTTGATCTTAGACTCGTAATGAGAGGTGGCTATGACTATTGCTATAATCCTGTAAATTACATTACAAAGGTTAATTGGATGCAAGTCAGCTATAGTTCTGGGTTTATTACACTTTGGGAGGAGCACAATATGGGTGAAATTTAGCTCCGATGGAAGCACACCTCTATGGTTTAAGAACTCTAGACATGGTTGTACAACATCTTCCTTCACCACATCCCAAAAACGTTGGAAAAAACCCGGTGAAAGCCCAGGCCCAGGGGCCTTTGAAGGATGCATTTGATGCAAGGCCTTCTTGATCTCTGTTTCCGTGAACATTTGGAGCAGGAAAGCATTATCAGCTTCAGTGACCCAAGTGCTTAAATAGGAGGTCACTTGTTCAATATTATTAGGGGAGATAGATGAAAATAGAGAAGAGAAATAGCTTGTAGCTATGCTCTACAACTCTGCAAATTCATACTTCCATTCACCTTCTGCATTCATCAATTTCTCTACCTTATTTCTATCTCGCCTTTTAGATGCCCTCTTGTGAAAGAATCGCATGTTTCAGTCCCCCTCCTGCAACCATATTTCTCTTGAACGTTGTCGCCACATAAGTTCCTCCCTTTCTAGCCATTCCTTTGTTTCTGCAAGCACCTTCTTCTCTTCATCTTGAGCTGTGATTGAGGGGGATTTGTTTCTCAAAGATTCGAGGCTCTCTATGCATTACTTAAGTCGTGTTTGCACATGACCAAAATGAGAAGTGTTCCAACCTTGGAGATTTGTGGAACAGACATTGATTTTTTGCAGTAAACAGTTCCAGTTCCCTTCACATACAATAGAGCTCCAACTAGATTTTACTATTTCAGAACAACCAGGATCCCGAAGCCACATATCTTCAAACCGGAATCTCTTTCTGCCTCTATTCCTTCTCTTATAATGACTGTCAAGAGTAATCCATAAAAGGGAGTGATCAGAAGATAGAGAGGGCAATAGTTTGACTTTTGCACGGGGAAATAAAGCTCGCTAGGTGGGCGTGGCCAGGGATCTGTCTAACTTCTCTTCCACACGTCCTCGACGCCAAGTGAAGTGGCCACCAACCATTTGTATTTCAACTAAGTTACATACATCCACCACCTCTCGAAATCCCTATAGCATCCACTCCGGCTAAGGGTTACCACCTAACTTCTCATCTGAGTGTAAAAGATCATTGAAGTCTCCCCCGATCAACCATGGTAGATCAGATTTAGTGGCTAATTCTCTTAAAAGTTGCCATAAACGCCTCCGATTATGTCTTTCAGGGTGGCCATAGTAGCCTATGAAATGCCAAGTGCCAACTCCCATGCCTTCCACCTCCATATCAACGTGATTCTAAGAGAAAGAGAGTAGTGATAATTTGGTGTCAAGTTTCCAAAGCACAACTAAACCACCACTGCGCCCTACTTTGTCCACTACAAAACAGTGAATGAAACCCAGTCTTCGTCGAACTTTCTCCATACCCCTTTTATCCAATAGAGTCTCACATAAGAACACTACTACAAGTTGCTTTAACCCCACCAATTCGATGAGGCATCGAACTGCACGAGGGTTCCCAAGCCCTTGGCAGTTCCAACAGAAGAGACTCATGATGATTGGGGGGCATGCATAGCAGTACCCGCCTATAAGATTACAACGTCTCCTACATCATTAGTGCCCTTTACCCGCTTCAGACCTTCGAGTTGCTCAGCCACAATGGTTTGGAATTGCTCTTCCTTCCTTTTAATTTGCCCCGAAGAAGGTGATGGATGTGGGCTCCGGTGGCGCCATTCCCTAGCTTCCCTCTTCTAGGATCTAGCCTTTGATGGGTTGTCACTTTGGGCTGAAGAGAACATAAAGATTGAGGTTGATTCTTGGGCCTTAATAGTCAAGTTGGGCTTTTGGTGGGAATGGTTCTGTTTGCCCTCTACATCAACGAAAGTCCTTGGCCCACTTGTTTTGGAATGTTGCAGTAAGGGGGCATCTTGCCCATGAAGCTGTCCATCTGGATTTCCCAAATTAGAAACTTCGTTGTTTGTGCTTATGATTTGCTGTGAATCCCCCAAAATATGTTGTCTCTCCATAAAATCCGCTTTGTGTTCAGCCAGAATCTCCTTATTTCCCCGGCAATCACAGTCATTTATTCCAGCTACCGCGTCGTGACAACCGCGAGATTCCAAAACAGGCCATCTTGCCATTTTGGAAGCTGGACGTCTCCCCTGTGAGTCCTCGCCGATGGGGTTTCTAGCGGCATCACGTAGCCATCTTCCATTATTCATAATAGCCTCTTGTCTCTCACGCTTCAGTACCGCCCGGAGCTTGTCATCATAAGGACGCTCTGTTACTCCCATACGTTCCATTTCCAGACCCAGCTCACATTCCCGTTCAACGTGGTCCAGCATGCCACAACAATAGCAAAAATGCGGAAGGCGAAACCCAGAGCATATCACCTTTTAGAAAAAGCTTCATGCCTCAACGCAAAGGCTTCCTTGAGTCAATGAGGACTCTCACACGAATAAAATCCAAACCCCATACATGACCGTCCCCTGTATCAACCTCAAGGAGATGCCCAAGCTCGACACCAATTCTTCTACCTGTTGCTTCAGTTATCCGACTTGGAGGTAGGCCATGAATTTGGATCCAAAAAGGGACCTCAAAAAGTTCATCCTTGGACACCAGCATCCCCCCCTGAGTCTCTTTCAGGACCATGACGTGATCGGCAAAGCTCCAAGGACCCGCTGCCATCACATGATTCATGTCTACTAGATGAAAAAAGTAAACAGCAAAGTGGTTGTAACCCAGGATTCTCATATGCATACCCTTTACCGGTCGCCAAACCCCAGCCAATGTGGACGCCATCGCTTCCATATTATAGCGCTTCCAGGTCAAGACTGTATCGACAATGCACCACTTTGAGGTTCCTTCCTCAGGTTCATGACAGTTTCCATCATCCAAATCAAGCCTAACATCTTCCTCTACTGTCAAAGATAATTGCTTTCCCAGGGCTGCCGTCAGAGCCTTCACGTTGGATTCAGCCATCAGGACAAAACTACTAGACACCACCAGCCGCCGCACTCCCACCTTGAGGAGAAAAGAAACACTCTCAAACCGTAGGAGAAAAAAAAGCCTAATCTACCACCCTCCCAATGTTGTCACCCGAGGAT